TAGCGTGATTGATCGTGTTGCCGCATGAGTGCTTACAAATTGTGCCGTTAGACGAAGTGAATCTATCCATCGGTTAGCCGATCGGTGGAAATGATTTCCTGAAAATACGTTTGCAAAATTACTATACTGTTGTTGTCATGGTAATATGGATGCTGCCTGTGTGTTTCGGCTGAATTAACTTTCTTTGGTTGGATTTTTATTTCCAGTGGCTGATTTGCTCACTCCGCATCTCCACGGTTAATATTTTGCCATGTGGTAGTAAGTCTTGGCACGTTATCAGGATGCGATTATCTCACCGTTAACACGACGTCGCTTGTGGAGATACGCCTTTAAATTGTTGCAAATATCAATTCCAATTACATTCAACTGAAACTGTTTTTTTTCCAAGCTAGTATTCACTCTTGACACATTTAGATTTTAGTCAATTAACAGAACGCGTCTAAAAGTAACATCAACGCTGTCAAAAGCACATGTTTTTGCCATCTACGAAAATCCAGCCAATGAAATTCGACTTATTTTGACCAATCACGTTTACGACTTTAGATATCCATATTACGTGTAGGTGGTAGAACGCAGTTTGGATTTTAGGGCTGTGCGACAACCTGTAAAAATATTTTTAAATAACCTTGACAAATATTTGCAGTGTCTGTTGAGTGACATGTGGTCTGGCGTTGTCATGGTGAAAGATGATGCCTTTCCGATTGGCCAGATTTGCATGTTTTTCATTGGTTTTTAGCTCTGAGTTGGATGAGGTGCCCACAATAATCATTGGTCTCATTGAATAACGTATAAAATCATGTTTAATGTCCGAAGGTAACTTAAATTGGACCATATAGTTTAGAGTACTGTCATCATATTGAAGTCTATTAGTTGTCTCAGGAGCCTCATAATGATCCACATAAATAATTTTTTATCCGGTTTTAACACTTTCATGAAGGTTCCGATGTTAAAATGCATCTCGCCTGTTTTTATTCTAATTTAATTTAACTGAATTCGTTTTTCAAAGCTAATATGTACTCAGATAGCTGTCTGCAAATAAACTTTGTCATAAAAACGACATTCACAATGCATCTGTCGCCCACGAAAGCCTAATGGCACGAAATTTTGCAATTAAGCATTATTTCTACCTCAAATTCTTGCAGCAAGTTTTTTTCATATTAAAATCGAACGTGCAAACATTTACACACAGCATTCCTTAGGTGAGGTTACTAAATTTGCTGTTGACCAATGGCTGCAATAGACAGGTACCACATTGCTCGAATGTCGATTTGCGATTGGTGAATCTGTCTGAGAATTTGGTGCGACAATCGGACTCCAAATTTATTCAATGAATCCCATTGAGCATGGTTTTATTTTAACAACATTTTGATGAACAAAAGACAGCATTCGAGGTGCTTGCGAGACGTCCACACAAGCAATGTCAACATGGGTCTAAAATTGCTGTAATTGCTTGCTGGCCAATCAAATTGATGCTAAGTTATTGCTGGTGTCTGATTGGTTGCCGTGCAATTACTCACACAAGTATGCTTACGTGAGGCAATTTGATAGCCTGATTATATGGATTTTTGATAAGATTAAGTGTGCAACGCGATGGTGGATCCACGTTAGTTACAAGAAAGTGCATTGTTAGTCAAAATAAATATTATCAAGAAATGTTTTTGTCATCTTGTCATTGTACACAAGATTAGACAGGATAGTTAAATAAAAATTCCATTCTCAATGCCCAGAATAATTTTAATGCCTCCATCATTGATGCACCCTTAAACCCAAGGATTAATCAAGTACGCTCGTTCTAGTTTCGACATTTAAAGTGCAACTAGTGCTCTCTTTCGATTGCGTGTGTGAATAATTTGGCAGGTGACAACGCTGTACCTCGGTTACTGGAAAGAATGCTTCAACAATTTTGCATTGTTTTACTGGTATGGCGTGCGTGGTGGGTGGTCGTTTGAGTATCGATCATTCTGTGAATTTTATTGATCCTTCCCTTTCAAATTGTGTGACACGTGTAGTGACTCAAAGAACAACATGGTCTCATAATCGATTATTCGATGAGTCTTTACTATTAGTACTCGCTTCATTTTAGCTGCAATTTTGGGCGTCATGGTACGCACGTTTGAACGTGAAATTGACGCCCGACCCTTGTGTGAAATGTGCGCTACGCATTTGAGTGGGTGGGCACATTGTGTGCAAGGGGATTGGTTGGAGTTTTCACGATGACGTCATCTACCAGAATCTGGTTCCAGCACGTTGGACTTTCGACTTTACAGGTATGTAAACAGTAAAATAATCAACACTGTTGACCAATCAGGGCGTTTGTAATGGACTCATTTCTGGCCAATGCGTTCATCGTTTGCGTGACAAGCACGAACCAATTAGAGGACTATGCAGTGGTATGCCCTTGTTGCACTTTTAAAAGCACAAAAACGATTTGCTATTTTGTGTGTGTGCGAAACGGTAAGTAAAACAAGCAAATAAATACACAGCTTCTTTTTTCAGCATCACCTGACCACTTGCGCACAGATATTTTACGTCGCATCTAATTGGTAAGTGTTTTGACCAATCCGATTCGTCGAACTTCATTAAGCTGAACCTGTGTTCAAGCACTAAAATTAAACCTGAAGTCCTGCTATCTTCGATGTGCACAATAACACCTACTTGTGTTCCCGCCAACCTTCTCTACCACTGTCCCGATGTTGCTGTTTTATTTCACTTCGCATCATCTCTGCCTTGAAATCAGATCGGTGGATAGTGGATCTACTTAAATACCACGTTTCAGTAGTAGTCAGAGGTTTGGTTTTGAACATATGAACAGGCAGCGTTTGCAGCAACAGAAGGAGCATTTACAAAACACAAATTATTGATTTGTTGAAGCGTTCACATTAGGAAAAAAAGTGTGATCCTTTTATGGAAGTTGGTTTCGCTAATATCCGTCATTATGCGGACTGTGAAAACTGCCACATTTTGAAACTAATTGGCTTAAAAATCTGTAGATGGTTCAAATAGCATCTAAGCGTAGGTATAAGGGCTTTGTATTACAATTGGTTATTTTTTGTAACCAAAAAGCCACTTTAGTGTGATGTGAAAAAACCAGAGAGTGGTCATTTTAGTTGCGCAGTACACACAGAAACAAAACTGACGAATAACTCGTGTTTTTGAGGTCCTTTTTTATTTTTTACTTTTTTACTTTTTTAAGCGTAATGACCTTGAAGGATTCCAGAATTTAGCTCCCCACCACTTTGGACTGCCATTTCGGTGACAGTTGATCCCACGAGATCATGGAGATTACGCGACTACGAAGCTTTCGCATGAATTATATGCTCACGGGACTTATCTACAGTAATGATTTAGTCACGTGGCAACACTTTCGTCATTAAAGGCGATAATTTTTACAATTCGCACACCTCCCCATCTCCAGCTATATTTTGATTTTAAC